AGGGTGGACAAACGAGATGAAATAAAAAATAGGTGAGGAGACTTCTCACTATATTGGGAGGTTGTTTTCAGAGACACTGGTAGTCTTACTAGAAGAGGTGTCCAAAATGACTGATGGAATGCTTTAGAAAAATTCGATCCTATTTTCATACTCCTTAAATATATATCCTGTTGTGCTGGTGGAAAAGCGTGGAAGAGGGTTGCGTTTATGTACAGACCATGGGGCGGTTAAACAAGGTCACTCTGGGGGACGAATTCCCACATCGACGGTTTACACGTTTTTCACGTTCAGCATTCTGTCACTCGTTCTTCTACAGCAGGTTATCCTGATGCTATACCGTACCATTCCCCAAAATTCCCGAGATCACCATCCCACGTTGAATTGCGCTATTTGTGCCTGCTACAGGTGCTGTTAGGAACGTGCAGTTCAACTTGACAAAAAAGAACGAAACTCAAATAGTACCAGTTATAAGGAGATAAAACTGGTTTGTTTACTTACCTTAATTCCATCCATAAATGACTGAGTAATTGCAGACTTCAAATCGTTTGGCATGTATGTGTGCGTAAAGTAAACATCCGTCTACTTGGAAAAATTTCTCACTTAATGAAATTTGGTTCGGCATGTAAGTTAAGTGTCAATCACTTAAATTTGTCAGCACGAATAAGTAAACTGTCACTCAAGTTCAGTCTTCCCAAAAGTTGTCTGAACCAAACAGTTGCAATAAACAACACTGTGTTTCAGTTAATATCACCGGGTGCAAATAGGATGGACCTTCGTCAAAGATACATCCATTTTTGTTTTTCCGTACGTTTCAAGGCCAGTTGTACGTAAACATGTTTTTCGTGTCTCCATTTGATGGGAAGTGTGTTGTCTCTAACCGTCAGTCAGAATGACAGTTGCGCTACTAGAGTATTTCTGGCTGATTCGGACCCAAGATCGATCACCTGCGTGAGGTGTAATTTTGTATCCTGCTTTGTAGATAAACTTATTTTCAGTCAACTTCTATCTATAATGACTGTGTACTGAATCAGTTGACAGGTTTAAAACTCTCCAAGATTTACACCTGAGCATAAGTTAGGCCGAGCTAGACAGCGTTCGTACCCATTCCCGTTGGTCGTCAGATGTTCGAGTTTTTCAGAATGGTGTATTAGTGTTCCATACTGACACTATGTACAATATATAAAGGTCCTGATTTGCCAATGTACAACGTCACAGACGTACATTTGCCGAGTAAACCAAAAGTAAGTAGACAATTTTACCTATTGGACTACATTATGCAAGTTTTCTTTGTTCATTATTAACCGTTCACTTTGCTAACACTTTTTACTAACCCCGTACATGACTTTCCCTCTGTTGCTCGATTTTTAAGAGACAACAGTTTGGTATCTGGACTAAGTGTTTTTATAAGTGTAGACTAACTCACTCTTTTCAATTCTTATTGTTGTGACCGCAAAAGACACTTGGCCTGGGAACTAGTTTATCGCACTAACGCCCGTATAGGTCATGTCAAAAATCAAACCACAAACGCGTATACTCATTTGCAAGTTAGATATGCATTCACATCCATCATTGTCATTCGCCTTGGTGGAACTTCTGCCGAACGCGTACACACTATTTCGATAGTCTCTCCTTGTCCTCCGTCTTCCTGGCATTCGCAGTTTGCCCTTTTGTTCCTGAACGTTGCCTGTAGGTAATATACTACTTGTGAGTAGTATACTACTCACAACGAAACTGCCTGTCATACAACAGCATATCACTTAAATGACTTCGTATTATTCATATCATCTGATATACCGGCTTAAGAGAAAGTTTGATTTATTAATCTGCCATCCATATTCCACTCGATCGCTAATTGTACTTGGGATTGGTGGCCAGCGTTCTGAATTCGTTGTAATTAGGTTGAGTCGTTTGAATGGATGCAGGTCACATATGAAGGACAGTTAGAAAAATCAGCCGGACGAACAAACGGAATTCATGAACGTATACTAGGATTTATGTTTACCTAGACGACCGTAGCAACAGCGATTAGTTTCATCCACCTTGAGTGTATGAATACTCAGTCAGTGCTCAAGGACATAATATGTGCCCATCAGGTTCGTGCTGACTGATTGTTGCAAACCACTGTCTGTTTTTACCCCACCAGTTGAGTTTTTATGAATCGGGTGTCGACAACCGGTGTGATGAGTCATTCTCGCATGTGAACAACCCTGACGATTTGGAGTGACCTGGAAACTTTTCCCTCACTTTTTTATTCACACGCTGGTTGCACTTTTAAAATTGACAGACTTATAGGGAATGAACTCCTTCGGTATTTTGTGACTTTCATTCACAGTTTACTTCCTAGTTGGTCTGGTCGGCTAACCTGTTTTAGTTTTATTTCGGAGACGGATATGCAAATAACCCGTGTTTTGCGAACTTCGAACAAACAGCTTAACTGTTCTAATCAATCAGTCCACCTGGTTAGTCTCTCCAGATGATCTCGATTAGCAAATGTGCACAATTCAATGATCCAACCATCTTCGATGTGTGACATGAAATATTCCGAACTGAACGAAACAAAAATTCTTCGGATTTGAGTTAACATTTCTACTTGTGAGTAATGATCAGTGCCAGTGGCGAGGAGATGCACTACTGACGAGTTCTAATGAGAGCGTAACTCGAGTCTAGTGCCTCTTTTCGAAAGGGGCCGACTGTAAAGTGTATGGGAATGCGAAGACTGCAATCAATTGTGGGTGATGTTTAATTTGAAATAAACCAAATCCCCGACTACTCATCAGTAGTTTAGCATTTCTACTTTTGAAAAATTGGGATTAGGCTAACACGAAAATAGTTCACACTAAAGTTTATAACCGCCAATGTCGTAGAGTTTAACTGATCCCCTAGTCTGTTCGTATGATTGCTTCTCAAACTCAGTTGGGATCACTATTATGCATTTCCCCAATCGATTCATCGTGGTAAATTGATAGAACTAGTCTAGGAGCATGATGTAACTTACGAAATATTTTAGGAAATGGGACGAACTCTGCCAACAAGTGTCTTCTCACATGCGAGGTATTTATAATTCGACTGAAAATCATAAAACTATTTGAACTACTATCAAGAATAAGCAGTTTTCCCTACTCTTCCCATCACTGGTTCAGCAACCTTCAATTTCATTTTCTTTTA